AGCTCAAGTCAAGGTGCCAGACGCTGTTAACTGCCACGGTGAGCTGAACGGTGGGGTGGAGGTTGGGGATCTGTAGGCGCTCCAAGTTGAACCGCTTGATGTAGTCTCAGTGATTTTTTTCGGGGCGCTAGACTACATTGAGAAGGTTGATAGCTGACTTTGGACACCTTTTGCTCGTCACAAAGTGGGTGGTAAAGAGATCAGGGAACTACCCCCAACTCTTGATGGAGTGGAGCCCGCGGCCAGTCCCAAGTACCACATCTGAGCTGTGCCTCGGAAAGTGGTCAGGAAGGCCATGCACAAGCTTGCATCGATGGTCCCATAAAGCTGCATTAAGGCTTGGAAGCTATCAAGGTAATTGATTGGGTCGGTTGTGCCATCATAGGACTCTGGGCTGGAGGGCCTTAAAATCCTTGGGCTATGGGACGACAAGGATTTTAGCCACCAACAGTGAGGTGTATGGTACGTGTTGTGCTTCCGAAGTGGCAATCTGGCTCGCCTCTTCTTTCTTTCTATCTTCCACCTTCGCCTCCTCCCTGTCTTTCGGGGCGACATGGGTTTTTCCTACGACGCGGCGTGAACGTCTGTGGTGCCTTCTCCTGGACCCCTTGATGGAATGAGTAGCCTTGGTCCCAACCGACGCTATAGCTCAACTCGACTCTTCAACCGGGACTTGGTTTTGACCATTGTGATGGTGAGGCAGATCTGGTACCTGGTTCTGGTGCTAGTCATCGGGCTCCTAATTCTAATTCACATTCAATGCCAACGTAGGGACCTACCCGACGACCTGTTGCTGTTGTTGGTGCTGCTGTAGGGCTTGTACACCAGGTGCTAGCTATGGTTGCACCCCAACCTTTGCTGCAAAGCGACCTTCCCGGTTCTGCATCTACAGGACTATCCCACAAATGTATTGCACCATCTCATAAAATTGGTGACCATCTATCACAATGGGAACCACAAAGGGCTTGACCATTGGGAGAGGCGCATTCACAGCGGACAGAGAGAGGTTCAAGCCTTGCGTGGCCAGGACGCCAAGTAAGGTCATGGGATAGTAAATTGTCTAATTGTGACGATGGGGACCTCGGGTTTAGTGCAGGCTGGTCCTATCCCCTATGACAGTAATTCAATGTGTGTGTTGTTGTTGGCGTTGTTGACGGGGTTATTGCTTGATGATGCCATTGAGTTGGAGCTTAGGAGTTTGGTGACAACCGGGCTTTTATGTAGTGATTCCCACAGACGACGTCAATTGATGTTGCATAATTTGACATGTCCCTATTGGAGTTCAGCGCAGATGTCAGTCTAGTGAGTTCATCGGGTCGAGCTACAAGGGAACAATATTAGAGTGTCCGGGTTGCTATACCTGGGGTGGGCACTCCGAATCTTAAGTTAGCGAACTGGGTGTATAGCTTAGAAAGCGAGAAAGCTAATAGATTTTGAGAGCTAAATCGCTCCTACCTTTTCTGAGGAAGGGGATGCTTTTATATAGGCTTACAGCCGTGAGCTCCATGAAGCACGTTTGAGATCTCTAGCCCGTCTGGTTTGGAGGTGGTTTCATGCCTAGAGACGGACTCCACGTAAGTGGGTAGTGTTTATCTGGTTTCGTTCGAAACAGGTGGAGCAGAAATCAACTTTGTTGATGTGGCATCGTGATCCCAGGAAAGTTGGAGACAATAACTCGCTCGAGGAGGAGATTGCCCGTCACGCTATGCAGGCCGCTATTTGAATCTCTACTAGGTCGTCAGAGGCAAGTTGCCTCTTACACCGACCTAACATCTTCGGTCTGTCTGCAGGTCGTCCTACCGAGGTGGGGCCGAGGAGGTCACGACGGGTGTGAGGTGTCTGAAGTTCTCCCAAGGTCCGCTTACATGGCATTGAGTTGTCGTCTGATGGTTTTGTGGAGCCACATGTCATGATGTCACTGGAGGGCCAAATTACCCCTTATCAAAAACAATTCTCATGACTGGTTACATAACCCAATAGCTTGTTAGACATAGCTTGCATGACAACTGGTCACACATTAGCTAGTTATTAGACCTGTTAATTGGCTGGGTAGCCCAACAGGCTTATCCGACCTGGCCCATTCTATATCGAGCTTGAACTTGTTTTGAGGCTTGCTTGTGGTTGTAGGCTCATGATCTGGTTGTAAATATCAGGCCTAATTATTAGTAATATTTACTTTCACTTCCTAATATATTAATTTTACTTATAATATATTAATAAAAATATATAATAGTAATCTACTTTTATTTCCTATTCAAACCGGGCTTTGGGCTTTATATGGGACATGCTTGCGCTTTTACATTTCTCTTGATAAGTGGTAAAGCCCAGGTTGAGTTTGTGAATAGGTATTGCTGAGACCTACCCTGAAGTTTGGTAATTGCAATCACCTTTCCTGAATTTTCTAACACAGTTGCAAGTAGATTCCCTCTATTAGAACCCTCTAACAAGAAGCACAATAATGCCCAAAATTTCCATGCAGACTTTTGACCAAAATGTTTATTTTTCAAATTTTTTCTTCGTAACAATCACTACCCCAAGCCTCTCTAGTCTCTTTATAAAAATTGATTATTTTTCAAATTTGCCCTTTATATCAATCGCTCAAAGGTAAAACTATAACTTTAAACTCTTTTTTTCATTGTTCATAAAGTTTGTATTGTTTATTTTTTTCTGTAGAAAATCAGCCTCAATAGTAATTGCATGGTATTTTAGACATTTTGATGCCTTCTATTTAAGTATTTTAACAGAAAGGGTCTACTTGCAACTATGTCAAAAAAGTTCAATGGAGATGATTGCTATTATCAAATTTTAGTATTTACCTAAAAAATAGACAAAAAAAAAACAATTATAAAAAATTTCCATTCCGCTAATTGATTCAAAGTAGGGGTGTCAATGGACAGGATTTGGATAGGATCCAATCCGAATCAAATTAGATTTGGACGGATTGGACGGTCCAATAAAATATATTAGTTTGGACCGGTCCATAATTAATTGTCAAATGTGTATGTTGGATTGGACTGAATATAGTTCAATTGCCCAACGGTTCATCCAAATTCCATCGATTTGAATAATACTAATTTCTCAACTTAAGTGGTAATTTCCCTAATAAATACTAATTGCTGATGTGGCTTATTATTTATTCAATTCAACAATGCTTCTCTCTCTAGCTTATGTAGGGATGTTAATATTGGGTCTGTGGAGAACGGGTCCCGAACTGATTATTAATCGGGACAAAATAATGGAGCCAAAAATAGAGCTGTTAATGGACTTGATATCTGTCCAATCCGATCTGGTCCAGTATCAATCCATTATACATGGATCAAGTCTAATCCAAACCAATAAATACCTTAGACCATTTTGATCTTAGTCCAATTCAGTATGTATGTATGTATAGTTATATATACATATATATACATATATGTGTGTGTAAATATAGATTTATCAATAAATAATATAATTATAATCCATATGTAACATATGCATTATTTTATGTTTAATTTATATTTTTAATTCAGTTTTAAATTTTTATTTGTAAAAAATATTAAAAATGCAATTTGAGGTAGAAAATGTTTTTTTTTTCTTTTTTTGCGAAATAGTGGGGCAAAGTGCTTACAATGCCTTGGAACGCATAAATCTCAAAAAAGTTACAAAAAAAAAATTGATAATCTCAATCAGTCATCGAAATGCAACATTATGGCCTTTGAAATTTCAAATACGTGTTTAGTGTAAAATCCATGACTAGAGGTGTAACTTGGGTCACGCTAGGCCTGACCCTTTTATATATATATATATATATATATTCAATTTTATTCCATTGTATTATAATATTTTAATTTCATTTTATTATTTCATATATAAACCATTGTATACATCGAAATTCAAATAAAATAGAATTTAATATTTTCTTTATCTTTTGTCTATTTTATTAATTTATTTTAATTTTTCATTTTTTTAAATTAAAAAATGCCTCACTCATGGCCTGGCCCAAGGCCCAACCCGCAGCATGGCCCAGCCCAGGCCCGCCTAGGCTTGTGTCAGGCCTGACCTATTAAGGATTCCAGAGAAGGCAGCCATGACCCACATAGGACTGCAAGCCAACACAGCACAGGCCGTGTTGGACTGATCACATAGGACTGCAAGCCAACACAGCACAGGCCGTGTTGGACTGATTTACATCTCTACCATAACCCTGCCACCCGATCAAATGGGTCAATGGTCCAACCATCTAGATTGGACAGTTTTTGAATTTTACTAATACCAGACCCAAAATCATGGTTAGGTGACAGTTCGAATGGTTCAACTGATTGGGTCAATGGCAGGTTGAAAACACTGCTTTGGACCATTTAATTTGGATTGGTCCAATTCAATTGGACTTGATTATATGGATGTGGGATGGATTGGGTCCAATCGACCCATGTCCGACTGGATCAGATTGGACCAAATCCAGTCCAATTGACACCCCTATGAAAGTACCCTTGTATTTCAAGTTGGATTGGAATTTTCAGTCCTAATTAGATAGATTGGGCTTGCGTTGAAAATCCAACGCAATTGAAAGTCTGGCAGCTTAGGCCCAGAGCCTAAACAACTCCCAATCCCAAACACCACACATTGAAGTTGCCTATTGCTTGTTGAAATTAAAACTAGAAAAAAAATGTCGATTTTTTTCGAAATTTCTTAGTACTATACATGTATTTGGCATTTCCAACAGTCATAAATAGATATCCAGAAAAGCAACCACGGGATAAACTTATTTGCGAAGGTGTCCCAAGACAAATTTCTAGCAAAACAGTAGGAAAGTGCTAGGAGTCTCTTCCAGCTGAGTAGCCATATGCACAATCTTTTACATAATCCTTACAAGTTAAATACAGTCAAAGAACTATCATAAGCGTAACATAATACAAGAATCTCAAAAACAAGTTCCCTCCCATTCTGTTACTGCAGTTGATGGCCGTCTGCTTTTCTCTGGAAGAAAAATGACCCAAGAAAAACAGCAATGCCAGTTATTGCAATTGTAAACACTAAGCGCCTCCGTGATAGATCATGTGGTTGTCTTCTTCGAGCATCTTCATCTCTTTCAGATGAATTTGCGTTCCTTAAAATCATAGAACACACATTCTGAATTAATCATAATGTTCTACAATTTTAAATATTTTCCAGTGAGTATTAAGGAGAATTATGAATCTTCAGACGACAAGAACAGATGCAATGCACTAGTGACTAGCATTAACCAGAATGCTTGAGAATTCCAACTACAAGCTGGATCACATTTGATGATTTTTTTGGAAAGCATATAGGCAGGGAAATCTCAGCATTAGCAGTTAGCAGGATGGAAATTTTCACTCTGAGCAAGAAGCCAAAAAAAAAACAAATATTGGGTGCTATAATTACCAGTGGGTCCCAAACTGACAAAAAACAAATCTGACTGATACTTCAATTATTCCGTCTTTACGGGACTTCCCGCGCACAAATGCAGTCATGTTGAAGTCTCCCCAGTGCCTAACTGCCCAAACCAGTAGAAGCTTGGGTTACTCTCACAAGGTGCATCTTGGAATAGCCGACCAACTAGGTAAGTTAGGTCCATGTACCTATGAAAATCCACACGACACCATGACCATCCCTACTATTGAACATTTGAACTGAACAGAAACTCAATGCAACTTTGCCCAACTGCCCATCCCAATAGTCAGTTCCTCCAACAAGGTGCTTCTAGGAATATGTGGTGAGTTGGGTCCATATACCCATGGAAATCCATTTGAGACCATCATATCTACTGTTGAGTGTTGTTGAACCAGACAAATTGGAAACCATCAATTTATCCTTCAACTCACGAATTTCCTTCATCCCACTTGATAATCATACTTCCTGAAGCTCCTCAAGAAGGTAGAACAACCCCCATCCTTGTTCGCTTCCAAATGGCCTGCAGACAGTAGAACAACCCATTTCTTGTTATCTCCGGTTATTGATAGATTTGACAGGAAGCTGTCGATGTGGAAATCATAATACTTATCAAAACGTGGTAAACTTACTCTAATTATGAGTGTCTTGTCTTCACTCCTAATTTATTACCTGTCTTGTCTCCGGTTTTGGTAAATGATGTTGGAGATTCAGCAAAGAGAGGAGCAACCTCTGGAGAAGAATCATGGCAGATAAGTATGGGGCCACAAATCTGGGGTGGGACTCAGGTCCTGGCCTACATCCAAGGGGATGTGTCTTGTGGTTGTGGAGTAACATTGTCTCTATTCTTCCTGACTTCTTGAAGGGGATTGGATGCAAGGTTGGCAAGGGTAATCACTTCAAGTTCTGGCTTGACAAATTGTGTGGGGACATTGCTTTGAGTGAGAGGTTCCCCTCTCTCTTTGATATTGCATGGGATAAAGATGCTGCAGTTGAAGATTGCTTTGAATCAGTGAATGGTGAGATTATTTGGGGCCCTACTTTCAGAAGAAATCTTAATGATTGAGAAATTAGTCCACTAGCATAACTTCTAAGTCATATTCATGGTTTCAAGCCCAACCCACAGTCAGATGACGAAAGAATATGGTCTTGGGAGATGTCTGGTAAGTTCTCTTCTCAGTCCTACAACAACCTTGTGATTGGTGGGGATAGAGACTTCCCTTGGGCTGTAATCTGGAAATACTATGCACCCTCAAACATTGCCTTCCTGGTTTGGACTGCAGCACTCAATAAGTGCCTGACTACAGATCAGCTGCTCAGAAGGGGATGCAACTTCCTAGCATCTGGTGAGATCATTGAATCCTCTAATCACATTTTCATTCACTGCTGCAGTTTTTCTCATCAGCTTTGGGAAATGGCTTTATCCTGCTTTGGTGTTTGTTCTTGCCTGCCTGTTTCAGTCCTTCCGCTTCTTCAGGGGTGGACTATCAAGGGTTTAAATGCAAGGCACAAGCTGCTTTGGAGGATTTTTCCAGCTGCTATCCTATGGGCTCTATGGAAGGAAAGGAACAGCCAGATTTTTGACAATCATTATAATGATATAGCTTCAGTCAAGTACAAAGTTTTAGGTTCTCTGTGTTCTTGGTTAAGTATACAAAGAGCTTTTAATGGTGTCCAGCTTTTATCTTTTTTGCAAGCTGGACCTTTTTTTAACTGATCTCTCTTAGATCTTTTAGTAAATTCCCAATGTACAGGCTCTCATTGAACATGGGCTGTTGTATTTGGCTTTCTTTTTGCAATACAATACTTTACATTTTTCAAAAAATAATCAACCTTCTGCCCACTACCCTTGGTTTCTTGCAGCACGATAATGTCCTGCATCCTGGTTTGCTTGTTTGATGATATTTATATCTAGGCATCCTTTAGGTTCCGTACTCATTCCATGGCAAGTTTCTGATCTGTGTCGCTGACCTGACTTAGTCCAGGTTTAAGGATGTATATTTTGTCACCAAGAATCACCCACACAGCCACACACCAGTCTTGTCACTTCTCATCCATTCTACCAATACCTATTGCATCTGAAGTGACATTTCCCTTTCATCCTTTGTCATTCTATCCCTGCAAATTACCCCTATTTGGTTGGAGTCTAGCCAGTCATTTGAGTTATCAAGGGATCAAAAAGTGTAGATGAATCAGCTAACTGAAAAAGAAAGTACAAAATAACCTATGCATCCTCTATAATAATATCAAAGATGGACAAAACATCCATTCTAAACACATCTTCAAATTCTAGGTAACCAATCAACCTGTCCAAAATAGAAGATCTGCTATCAACGCAGATTCTTTTGTTGTCTTGTTTAGTTTCTTCAAATGTTCTTCAGTTTCTCCCTCCAAATTACCCAGCAGATTCCCCAAAGAAGTATACAAAAATTCTCATTTAACTGTTTCTAAGAAAGGGTGACCAAAGAGGGAAAAAACATCTAACAAGAGAGTGAAGGATAAAATACTGACCCCTGGAACAGTGCAAAGAAAAAAGATCAAATAAACTGTCATTGAATGAACAAATGTTGAACATCTTCTTTGGGATTATAACAAATAAAGCAGACTAGTCATGCAAAAAACTCAAATATTCAAATGATAATCAATATGGTGTCAAGGAAGAAATGCCATGCAAATGCTTCTGGTCTAAATGAAATTGGAATGACCCAAATACTTCTAACCATATAGAGATCTGCCTGATTTCAATCAGTGCTTTGTAGAATGATTAACTATAAAGTTTAGTTACCAATAAAAAAAAATAAGGATTAACCATAAGGCAACTGTTTGCGCGCTACTTCCACCAACCATATTGTGTGCAGATATTATGGGTATTCCTATACTTTCATTAGTTGGCTACAAAAGGACGGAATCACAGACCTGTATTTTATGATGCCAGAAAATGGTACATTCTTGGGCCCTTGTTGAAGAGGACACAATGGTCAAGCATGGATACAAACTGAGACTAGTTTTTAGTTAGGTTTTTTGTATATAAAGGTCATTACCTAATGTTGGTCCCAGCTATCTGGGGTCTTAGGATAGGTAGACTGGATATGGTCCTAACCTTTGGCATTTGTTTTTTTTTTTTTTTTTTTTTTTTCACGAAGTAGCTGCTCTTAAACTTGAACTATTCTTAATCAATGTTGACATGGTACAGATAAAATGCAAACTAATCCCTAATAGAAAGTTAATCTGTCAGGAACCAGCTTAGATTGCCAATACTCAGGACTGGCTTAGTATGACTCTCCTTGATATGGTGTAGGAATACCCAAGGAGGAGAAAAGCTTGGCTGTTTGGAAAAAACAGCCTGAGCTGTTTTGAAGCTTCCAGAACATGACATGTTACCCCACTTAGTCCTTTATTTGTCTTAATCAAAAGAATGTTCATTGCAATTACTCTTTTATCCCACACCCAAGCTAATGTGTCGTACAAATGAAGCATCAAAAACAGCCCAGGCAGTTTTTTTTTTCAAACGGCCAAGCCTTCCCCCCCC